AGACATACTCGAATTACACTGCAGTTGTCAAGCGCATCATATATGCACAAGACATTGAGTACAGAGAGCAGGTGGATGGCTTGGTGGCATGGCGTGGAAACAATCAACTCTTTCTTAATTTAAAAACAAAGGTTAAGTTTCAGGATAAACCGGAACGTGTGTCAAACAAGCAGCAGTAAAACAAAGCAGACTGTACTCCTTGTACTTTAAGTCCTTTAGCGTTTCCAACTGTATACAGCATTTCTTCTATAGTCTTGTGGATTGTGTAACCACTTCGTCATCTGTTGGAGTAGCAGGACCACAGCCAGTAACTTAACATGTTTTCACATGTAGATCCGGTTCCATTGCAACATTTGAACACATAAACACGACATGTGCAACTTCCTTCTTCACTAAATGTAAACAAAAATGGAGTAGTCAGATTTTGGCAGTTGTAGGATTTCACTTTTGGTGCTGGTAAAAGACCATGTGTGTTACACTCATGCTTTGTTTTGTTTTGGTTGCATTTACCCAGAATGCCATGCCCTATAGACCGCTTCCTGCTTTTGGAGCAGTCTCCGATCCGCTTGGCATTCACATATGTGTTGCCAGAGTTTGCTTCAACTGAATCGAGACATAAGTTTTAGCCAGACCAGAGTTCACCTTTTGGTCTGCATCAGAGTTTGATTGCACATTGACATCTCCCCAAACAACATGGACTTTCTAGGCAAATTAACTAAAGTTTGTTTAAAGCGGACTAAACATGGTTGGTGTGAATAAACCCCTGAAAGCTAAACAAGATGATAAAGTTGACTACGCGCTGGGTCCTACTGTGGAACCTCTGGAGATGACCGTACAAAGGAAGACATATTGGACAACATGGACCATCCTCTTCTCAAGACCAGTAATACAACACCAAGTCATTACCATGTAAAACCACCTGCATGTCTTTTACGGTATATTTCTACCAACTTTGCTTGTCTAGAGACTGACATTTTTGCCTGTTCTACTTTACAAAATGGTTCATGTTTGGGTCATGTTAGCTGGACGTGTCCTCAAGCAAAAATAATCAAATCCTGGCAATGCTTGGATCTGAACTTTGGGGTATTTTAACACAAGAATACTCTCTTGATTGTTTAAAGTCTGGTATTTTGCTGCCTCCAGTGTCTTTGTTTTGTTTTCTCCAACATTGACCTGTATCCATCGTCCCATCAGTGCTGAATCTCTGCAGCTCCTTCATAGTCACCAATAATTTCTTTGCTGCTTCTGAGTTATGTTCTTGTTGCAAAGCCAGTCAGTTTAGGTGGATACCATAAATTACTATGTTCACAATTGTGCAATGATCTATTTTTGGGTGGTTGTTCAGCCAGCATTCAGTAAAAACCTTCCAAACTTGGGATATCATTTTATAACCTGACATTGCGTCTACACAACGGTGCGGTGGGTTCCTTGACTCACGGTAAACTTCTGACTTTAATTTCACAGAGGTGGAATGTATTTAATAATTACGTAACTTGGAAGCCAATTGGTTTTGCTGAATTTTAATACAAGATACATCTCAAATGCTGAATACAAAACAGCACAACATGTCGCAAAATATACAACATATCCTCTCAGTGTGCGCAGTATTCATATTGCAAAGTTCTGTTTGGAGGGCAATAATTGTTGGCTAATATTTTCCAAGTGATGGAAGCACTGGTGAGACAGAGAGGACAGACGATTCCGTACCTGACTGTCATCTCAATATTTATCAAGAGCCAGATTTTCTAACATCGTGCAACACAGTTACAAAACTATGAAAATCTTTAGACTTGAATTTGTGGAAATTCAAGTCTAAGCGGAAGGAAAATGATGCATTTTCCTTCCACTTAATGATGCACTACTTTACTGTTTTACTTTGTGTCGGTTTATCACACAGGATACAATAAAACACACTCACGTTTGTGGTGTTAACTGGACAAAATGTGTAGAAGTTCAACAAGTATATTTACATTTCCAAGGCACAGCTAGTTATATGTAGTACCTTTTGCAAATCCACGTTTATACAAGAAAATAATGAGCCGAGTCTTGAATTATGTTCTGTTAATGTGCAGTGAGGGAGAGTTTACAAGCAGGGACATGTTTGCACAGGTGGCTGATATGCTGGTGGCCACACAATGGGCGGAAGTGCACTCTATGTAGAGCTACTGATTTTTTTTTTTTATTGTTGCCTATTTTACATTAAGATTGTTTTTCTTAATTATACATTGGGTTGTACAGAATTATAATATACACAGTGTTGAGTAGAGTAGCCAAAAATTGTAGCTGAGTTAAAGTATCATCATGTCAACATATTTTTACTCCAGGATGAGTAAAAATTAGCCGTCCAAGAAATTACTTAAGAGTGACAAAATATTTGGTACAAAAAGCTACTTAACTAATGCGTAGCTGATAACAGCTCATGTAATATTTAAAAATGCTGTCAGAAAAAAATTAACCTAATGTGCAAATTATGATTCTTCAGAGATTGGACATGAACAAATACGTTAATTTAAACAGCCATTAGCCAAACATAATCTTGTAGCACCCTCAATATAGTTTTTATACTTATTGGTGGTATTTATGCATCTTTTTTTAGGGATATACGTACATATTATGCTCCTAAACAGCCTAATCATAGATGGGTAGTGTAACAAAACATTGTACTGAAGAAAAAGTATCACAACGTCAACATATTTTTACTCCAATAAAAAGTAGCCGTCCAACAAGTTACTCAACAGTACCAAACATATTTCACAAAAAGGCTCCTGAAGTACTGGAGTAACTGATCATAACATTTAAAAATGATGTCAGATAAACAAAAATATAAAGTTACGTCAAATTTGTAATATTTTAAAGATTAAAATAAAAACAACATTTCAAAATAAATTTAGGAAGAAAAAATATTTCCAAATCAAATTGTTTACCATTAAACTTATGAAACTAATACTTAAAGATGGTGTTTATGTGTTAAAATAAGGAAAAGTACTTCCAGTGACAATAAATAAATACTAAATTTCTTTATCTCCAAGTGGCACAAAAGGTTCAGCAGTCAGAAAATAACATAACTACAGAGAATGCTTATGTTAAAGTCGCACGGCCCGAACTGTCATGGGGGAATCCAGTCCGGAAAGAAGGTTGTCCCTGGCTCTGGTCTGTTCATGCCTCATTCTAAGGGGGGGGCAACCTCACCATCTCCTTCAATAACTCTCCGATTTGCAATAATTTCTGTTATTTCAACTGTTAACTTTATGCTTTCTATATCCTTACAAGCTGCATCAAGTCTGAGAAAATTCTGCCAACAACTAAACATTCTTCCTCTCCTTCAATTAACTTTTTACATGCATTTAAAAAGTATTCGTACATCAGTCGTTCTGCTTCTTTTTTGTGCATCTGCGCTGTCTTCTCAACCTGGCAGATGACCCCTCACACTGAGCCAGGTTCTGCAAGAGTTTTTCCTCTCACGATCACTACGTGTTTGCTCGATAAGAGAGTGTGCTGCAAAGTCAATGACACAATGTAATCTGCTGGGTTTCCTCAGATAGAAAACATTTGAAACTAATTTGAATAATAAACTGAACTCAATGCACTGTTTGACGAGTAGGATCAACTGCAATGTTTATATGATTGAATTGAAGTGCGTTGAGACGTGTTGTGAATTGGCGCTATATAAATAAACAACTGAAAACTAAATTAACTGAGTATTTGTAACCAGATACTACCCATCTTTGTACAAGTTAACTGTTGTTACAACGGGCAACTGTCAGACAGACTGGGAGAGCGAGTGGGAGGGAGCGACACGATGTTGCCATGATTTAGCAAACACTTGACAGCATTAGCTAGCTGTACCTCGGCTTGTTTGAGGCAGTAATAATAATTATTAAAGTAAGATATAGTTGTTAGGTGATCTAAACTGGTCTCACGTTAGACTTGCAGGCAGACGCTTTTAACATGAAGGCTAACTTAGGAGATATTTAAACGGTAGGCTATGCTAACATGAGAGTGCAGGTCTGCTACTACCTTCTGCACAGCTGTGTTAGCTTTAGTGACTAGCCTATTAATAATATACAGAAGTCTCTTGCTGCTTTTCAGGCCAATGCGAAACGCTTAAAGATTTACATTAGCGACCTTCAGTTAACACACCCACAACAGCAGCTAGCGGGCTAGTTGTGAACAGTTACTCGTGATCAGTGAACCACGATAAATTGGCTAGCGAGTGGCAACGTTAGCTGGTCAGATTACATAACAAAATCCCTGCCTGGCAGGCTCAGACAACATCATCCATGTCTGAAGCCAAGCAACTTACCTCCACTTGTGCCTCCAGCTTGCCGTCAAAGGTGAAGTCGATCAGATCTGGCTTCAGACACAACCCATAGTTGACGGGGCAAACGTCAGTAGGTAACCGCACGAAGGGCCTTCTTTCGGGCATGGTTCCTGTATTTTGGCCGCTTGCGCTGCTGAACGAGGAACTGTGTGTAGTAGCGCCGTTTATCTTTGCGATTTTTATAAACACGGAATTGATTAAGTTGGGTTTCGACAGTGCGGATGGACAGTAGCTGGTGACTGTACGCGTGAAAAGCAGCGGAACCGTGCGTCCGAAGAGCAGCAACATGAACTGAAACCCTTTCAGCGCTACTCTTCGCTCTTGTACAGCCCAAACAACTTCACTTAATCAGCGTCGAGTTCAAGAGAAGTGACGTCATCGCGTCTCGGCTTACGTTCAGAACGTGTGAGGCAGCGCAGACAACAGACTTTCTCTTTTTTAATCTTTACTAAAGATTCAAAACCGGAGGTGACAAAATAACTCATGTTATTTACTGAAGTATGAGTACAAATACTTCTGTAAAAAAGTCTAGTAAAAAAAGTCTACTTTAATAAATAAGTACTATAAGAATATAAAGATGATTATTTGACAAAAGATAGAATAACACATATTAAATAAATGAAACACATATTAAATAGTTGTACAACAACAGTTCTCTATGAAAACAATCAAATAGTCTATACTTTAGAAATCTATCTAAGTGCATTAAAAAAAAATCCCAAGATGACTTTTGGGTTGATTTTCAGATAATGAACGGGCAGATAGTTTCTATTTTTTTATTTTTTGGTTTTGGTTTTTTGCCAAAGCAGTAGCAGATAAATGTGTAGACATTTGATGCATGTACAAAAACATTTGTAGTTTCTTAGAATGAATGAGAAACTGTTACTATAATGTGCGCAAGTAATTAAATTAGGTAGAAGTTGAAATAACAATTATGAGAATTACACTTTTTATCAGAAAAATCCACCAAAGCCTTGACATAAACGGTCAATGTGGCGCTTTTAACCTGAAAGGGTTTTCCCGGAAGCTGCTTTTCACTTTCCGGTAATTGGGGGAAGATGGCGACATCCATAACGAGGACATTTGGGTCTCTTCGTATCGTTGCACACAGAAGCTTAAAGGTACTGTGATTTTTCATGAGATTGTCATAAAGTCAGCATGCTAAAAAGCGTTATTTTTTTCCTGCTTGTTTTGAACATTGTATAATGTTTAGAGGCCTTAGCGGCGTAAGACATGTCGCATGAACGTCTTGGCATCAATCTACGAAGCTCACGTTTCAGCAGAAAATTTGTAATACATATATATCAATTTTCCTGTTTAATAAATAAAGCCCGATAGTTTAATATTAAAACATAGCTTGCAGGCAGGGCCAGTCCATAGTTTTATGGGGCCTCGAGCGGAATTTGATCAGAGGCCCCTTTTCCTGTTAAGAACTTCATGACTACTAACAGCATTTCAATACACATTTGGTTTAATCTAGAAGAGGGAGAAAATGGAGCTTAAAATCAATCACAAGTAAGTGGTATTGTTTGCTGGGATGTTATTGTGAACAAACTGAGCTCTTAAGATTTAAGGTCGTGGCATCAGATTGCAACAATGGAAACATCACAATAATTCTCTGCACTTTTACAATGTAAACTTAATTCCTTTAAGTCTTAAATTTTAAAATTAAACGACAAACACCATGCTGAAACTGTCAAATCAAATTTAATACTATTTTCATTCTCAATAAACAGAGATGCAAAATTTAGATATATGGTCTGGGTTAAAAGTATAGCATGTATTGGAGGCTATCTGATGGTTCGGGGACCTAACACAGCAGCTTAATCAACTTATTCTTGGGCCATCTCTTTTTATATATAATGTTAAATATCATAAACTAGTTATTTAACTGCTTAATTTCCATTAAGGCCATGTTTATTGTCATTTAGCCTAGCATTATGAATCATTTATCAAACACTTCTCTGGTGATTAATCACTCCTTTAAATTTCCACTCTCAGAATGCTGAGTTGGCTCTAGATGTACGGCATCCTGGTCCACTTTTCTTACCGGTTAGGACCAAGAAGCGGTACTTTATTCCTCCAGCGGTGAGCTTAAAGGGGAAGAAGGAAGAAAACCTAGAGGCTAAGGCTCGAGCAGCTGGCATCGTCTTCCGACAGCAGTACTTAGAGAGATCCATTAACATCTCTTGCTCAGGTAAAGTTGGTTGCATGAGGGACTTAAACTGAAAAAACATTCTTGTTGAAAATTTCATCTGGATTTAAGATGCACATTAAAAGATCAGTTTTGTCCTATTTTCATCAGCGGGAGTGTTTGACCCGTACATCCCTCCAGAAGGAGACGCGCGTCTTTCCACGCTGTCTAAGGAAGGCCTGAAACAGCGAACAGAACAGATACGACAGAGCGCCGCATCACAACTCGCGTAAGTCTGGTTTTCTCTTCATGTTCTGTTGTTAATAATCTGTGAAAAGATTGACCTCCTCTATCTAGTCTTAGCATTCATGAGAGGTTGTGCTAGCTATAGCATAGCAGAGAGCAAGTGGGAAGGAGGAGGGTGGATGAGCAGCGCCACATGAGATTCTGATTGACAGCACTAAGATCCTCCCCCTGGCACTCAGTGGTTGTTTCTAGTTGGCACTGGTAAAAGGCAGAGGAGATTAACTTATTTTTTTTTTCCACAGATAGTTTCTCATACCATATAGTCACTGCATGGTGTTTCAACAAATAAGTAAAACAAATATGTTTTATAAAATGTATGCTGCAGCTTTAAAATAAGGATTTTTAAAATCTTCTTTCAGGATTCGTAAAATCAAAGAGTACGATTCACAGTTCAGCACAAAGACGTTTGCAGAGCAAGCTCAAGAGATCTTCGTAGAGGCTCACAACTCCCTGACACAGTAAGAAGATGAACTCTTGCCTCGTTCCCCTCCCCCTGCGCAGACGGCTGATACAGGCAGCCAACAAAATATGTTTATTACTGAGGATTGTGTTTGAAGCTCCAGATATCCTCACACTGTTCTCAGATCTGCTGATGAAACATTAACTGTCATAATAAACAACGATAAACTCATGAGTAATTTATAAGGATCATTCTGGGTCAATGATCTTGTTCGTGCTCAGTTAGTGTTTTCCTGTACATTTCCATTGGTTATTATATGGCACATATTATCCAGTAGGAGCTGCAAAACATGCAGGACCGCACGTTATTGCTGTTTTCATTCTTTTGACACAGAATAGCATAGCAAATAAATATCTGTGACAATGTTTTAGTTATTTTTGATGTGGTACACAAAGTAATTAAAGTAGAACAAGCTGATTTTAACTGGTTAGTTAGTCAGGCTGTCTGCAGTAATCTGCTGCTCAGCAGACACACTGCTAGTAGCTTGTTGGCTATAAAACAGTGTTACTATAAAAGGGTATTTTATTTTCAGCTCCATGTTTGTTTTGTTTTTCACATCTGGAAATATTTCCTACACTGTAAAAACATAAAATCTTACCAAAGGTTTTTGTTTAGTTTCTTGTGCAAATATCTTATTAACCTTGAAATAAGACTAAACTAAAATGCAAGTAAGCTTTAGGAACTTATTTTAAGATGATAGTTACTCTAGTGTTTATTTAAAAAAGTACTAGTACCACTGGCAGATTATTTAACTTATAAGAAGACTGTTAAGAATGTGACTTGGAAATTTAGTTTCGTCATATTTAAAGTATACTAAGATATTTGCACTAGAAACTAAACCAAAAATTATTGGTAATATTTTGAGATTTTGTTTTTTTTCAGTGCAGTGTTTAAGAATACACTGTCTGTACTACTGTGCAGTCTGAATTTCAACAATATTCTGATCACCATTTGATAAATAATTTCAGAAGAAAAGAAGGAACTCAAATAAAAGTGGTTGTGACATTGCGGTATTGTCACATTTTTGATTTCCCAGCCAGTCTGGGTTTTTTGCAGTTCTGTGATCTCAGAAAATCACGCACAATCGACAGAATCCTCAAATTTTTTCGTGCTAATGTATAATTCTGAGCAAATTCTCTGGTTGAATTGACCAACTCCTACCTGCAGGTGGCAGTATTTCTTACTTCTACTACAATGCTGCTTCAGCCTTGTCAAGTTACAGTCCGTGATCAATAAAAATTTAGCTATTTAAGTTCTTTAAGTGATAAAAATGTGTGTGTTTGTGTCCCGTCTGTCTGCTTGTTTTTAATAAGGAATAAATATTGCAAGATTCCTTGCAAATATGTCTAAAGTAGAACCACAAAATCAGTATTTTCATCACCAAAAAAATCACAAAAACAATCATGAAATCCTGGAGGATCTGCCCACCTGGCAAATACAATCATTTACACATCAATCACTAGCCTGCATGTGGACATGTTGCTTTGGCTCCAAACTAACTAGATGTTTTTGTTTTGCAGCTTCAATAAAGAGAAGCTTCATTCTCTGGTTACAGAAAGATGTTATCCTGTAAGTTTTTCCTCTTCCTAAAGTGTCCACCCGTCCCTGTTTCTTTGTCCTAACTACTGTCAGCGCTGTGCTACGGTGTTTGCAGGAGATGACGAGAGGCAACCGTTACAAGACGATCCGGTGGAGGTTTGTCGAGTCACTGGAACCGCCCAGAGTGGTGCATGTCCGCTGCCCCGACATGGTCACTAAAGGAAACCTGTATGGGCAGGTTACAGTTCGTATGCACTCCAAGCAGGTATCACTTTATTTACTATGAGTTTAAGAGTAGATGTTATTTACTAATTAGATGAGTTCTCAAAGTAGATGGTTGCATTTGATTTGATTTTGGGGCGTTAGAGTGTAGGAGGCTAAATACAAATGTACAGATTTAATGTTTTTAATATGCGACAACCATGTATGATTTTTCTTCCACTTCACAAATACTTTGATTTATTACATAAAATCCAAATAATATACATTGAAGATTCTGTAGGTGACCTGGATGCAAACAATTAATCAACAATATATGATTAATTGTTGATTAATAATTTATTAGATTAAAATTAGTTCCAATTGATTAGCTAATAACGTTCAGTCTTTTAGTGTTGTAATTTGGCCGCCATCCAGCAGAGGGCGCCACTGGTCATCCTCAAGCATGCATTTTATACTGTTTTGAAATATAAACATTCAACAAACTCCTCTTTTGTTTTTACCTCATTCACCCTTTATGTGATGGAAATACAGTCAGCCCTCTTGACAAGAGAACTTTTTTAGGAAAGGAAATTACTAGTCAACTAGCAACCATAGCAAGTGCTGTTTCGTTTTTTTGGGGGTTTATAATCCGGATTTCTGATCACTGGACTATTTATAAGTGGCAGTTTTGTTTACAGACGTTAGCCATCTACGATCGCTTCGGCCGGCTGATGCTGGGCAGCGAGGAGCAGCCAAAGGACGTCCTGGAGTACCTGGTCATTGAACGGCATCTGGTCAACCCCTACAGTAGATGGAGGCTACATGGGAAAATTGTGCCCTCATGGGCTCCTCCCAAAGACCCAATTATTAAGGTAACTGTCCACTTTGGACCACTGATAAGATTTTTATTTAGACTTAGAAGGATAATTTGATGGGGACAAAAAATAAGAATTGGAGAAAAAGTTCTAAAAATCTATTAAGCATCTGTTTTTATCCTGTAATTAATCAGTCTACCCTAAACATAATCAACATTGTATTAAATTAAGTATTTTTTTAGCTGAAGAGCCTACAAATAATGAAGGGTACACTCAAGGAATATACTATTGCAATAACATCTTTATTTCTATTAAACATGGAAATTAGCTATCTGTTGCATCTTTTAATGTATTTCTAAAATTGTCTAGAAAGGCTTAAGTGGTTTAATCGACTACTACAACAATAAGTTGATGCCCTCGTCATCAGTTTTTTTTATTAATAAAAGTAATTAGCTGTTTGTTTTGATATGACCTGTCACTCAGCACAGGTTAACGAATGTGTTGCACAGGTCTGATTTAGACACCATCTCCTTCGGTTGGTAACCCAGCCTGTCTTTTTAGCGTTTAGTTGCTCAGTACTGAGGTTAATGTCAGACTACATTGACATTAACCTACTATTATTGAATAATTTGTACATGTTCTATATATATTTTAAATTTTTTTTTGTTGAGCGACTTGTCGGTGAACTTTTGTCTGCTCCGGTGTCTCTTCCAGACGGTTGCCATCCCTGGTCCAGACCTGAAGCCAGGGGAAGAATTTGATGCCCTCAACTATGAAGTTCCCAAACCAGAAGCAGTACAGTGGAATAAGTAGGTCAGCAGGGGGCGCCGGTCTTTATATTACGCTGAGGATATTAAGGAATTACTCATGACATTGAATTTTTTGGATGGAGTTACTCTTACTTGAGGAGGAAACCAGGCTTTGTTCTTTTTCTGCTTCCTTCTGTTAAGAAAAAATCTTTTAGATTTTTGAAGGATGTGAAGAAAAATCTGAGTTTTGGTTCAAACAACCAGCTGTGCTCTGAAATCACCAGATCATCATTTTTTTGTTATGCTTGTGAGAATAATTTTATTTGTACATGCAAGAAATAAAAATGCACAGAGCTCTAGAAATGGAGTGGTTTATTTCTGCATCAAATGTACAAGATGCTGATTTCTGCAATGGAAAATAAATATTGATATTACTGATGGTTCCACCTGCTTTTCTTCACAAGGTAAATCATGAACTGTGTTGCAGTAATTCATATGTTTAAAAAGACATGATACAAATATGATACAGAGCTTACAAAATAACTTGACAAACAAAAAATAGTTCTCGATTTGATGGTAAATTCTCTGAATAAATAATTTTCTTGCATTCTGAGATACACTTCAGCATCATTTCTCTTATGTTGAAGGAACGTTATTATTATTATGCCACAAACATTAATTAAATGAAATGTAAAAATTATTAACAGGTCATCCTTGGTAGAGATTTAATTTTAATCAAAAATTTGCATTAATGTTTGACATGGTAAAGTTTTACTTCTGAGGTAAATAAAGGGTTTCTGTTATTCTGGAAAAAAGTTTTTAAAAAATAATTTTCTGTGTTTCTAATTTTGTTGTGTTTTATAGCTATTTTTAAATCTATACCAAATACAGAAAAAGGATTCAAGAGTAATTCTTTTAGATCTATACTTCTGTAGATGTATACTATACATGGATCTCTAAAAATAACATTTCTGCGGTCAATATTTATGAAAAATTATAAGCTGTATTTATCAATTTGCAGGTCTAGACATGTAGCAGGATTGAGAGCAAAACGTGTCTCTTTGGATCGTAAAAGTTGCAGACCCCATGGCCTAGAGTTTTAACTCAATTTAAGTCACCTAGACATCTTTTAATAACATTTTATTGCAAAGCATTAAGCATTCATTGAAAAGTAGAGTTCCCATACTGCATTTAAATCTGTCATGGCTGCAAGTTTAAGATCAGACTTAAACAAACACACATAAGACCAATAATAAAATAAAAACATGAAGACACAAATTACATTTTCATTTAAAATGGAGAGTGGAAGCAGGAGCTGCTATTGCCATTCAATGGGCGTGCAATTACCTGCAGAAGCAACATATGATGTAATATGACGCAAAAGTAGAAAATAAAACTTGTTTGCAAAAATGTATCATAAGTAATTAAGTCTCTATGACAGATTTCACAACCCAACTCACATGGTAAAGACAAAATCTTACCAAGTATTTTTTTTGTCTAGTTTCTAGTGCAAATATTTTAATACACTTGAAATAAGACTAAACTAACTTATAAGTAACTTTTCAGCAAGATAAAGGATCTTGTTTTAAGTCAATAATTCCTTGATATTGATGGAAAAAGTTCTAGTTCCACTGCCAAATTAATTCACTTATGGGAAAAATCTTGTTACAAATGAAATAATCTTCCAGTTGCACTAGTACTTTCCATCAAATTTAAGGAATTATTGACTTAAAACAAGTGCCTATATCTTGCTGATAAGATACTTATAAGTTAGGTTTGTCTTATTTCAAGTTTACTGATATTTGCACTGGAAACTAGACCCAAAATACTTGGTAAAATATTGTGTTTTGCAGTGTATAGTTCAATATTAGGGTTGACCCTAACTCCTGCTAACTCAAATAGCAGAAAGCGTTTATTTCCTTTTGATTTCACAAATCAGGTGGGAAAACGAGAGCCTCAGCGGCACACTCTGCATCATCTTCCTCATCCTCCTCTGGGATGTTCTCAGGCTCCCATGTAAAGATGTCTGTAGTATTGTCTGTAAATGAGCCTGATGAGCTCCTCATGATGTCCCACGGACACAGAGCGTCACGCCGACCCAAAGCCAAGTTGGCTTTAGACTCGTCCGTTTGCTCCGTGTCCATGTCTCCTGGAGTCTCATCTTCAAGAGTAATCCGGTTGTCCGTGACATCTGTGTCACTGTTGGTAGACAGAACATTTTCTGCAACAGTTGTGGGAACATTTACGTTGTCTCCTTGTTCTTTGTTACTGGATTGACAAATGTCTTTGTCTTTAGTTTCTTCTGTCTCCCATGGGCAAACATCTGTCCGTGTGCTGTCTTGCTTTTTCAGCACTTTTGGGTCTTCTGTTTCCCATGGACACACATTTTCTCTAATGCTGTCCTGCTTTTTTAAGACAATAGATTCTTCGTTTTCCCATGGACACACATTTTCTCTGCTATCTTGCCCTTTTGTAACTGTAGCGTCTTCTGTGTCCCATGGACAAACATCTGCCAAAGCATTGTCCTTGTTTTTGAGAATTTTTGGATCATCTGTCTCCCATGGACAGACATCTGCCCTACCACTATCTTGCTTTCTTAACACTTTTGATGGGCTTTGCAGCCTTTGAGACTCTGTTTTGGACACTTCCTTTTTTTCACAAGACTCGGTCTCCCATGGACAAACATTCACCCTGTTGCTATCTGTCCCTTCAGCATTTTCAGATACATCAGGTTTGTCTTGATGGCCAGTTTCCCAGGGACACACATCTTTGTTCACAGTCATTTGCGAAGCAGAGTCTTTGTGTGAAGGTTCTTTGTCTCCTGTTTCCCATGGGCAAATATCTTCCATGGGATTAGGTGGATCAGGGAAATCCCATGGACAGCTTTCAGCTGCTTTGGACAGTTCTGTACTTGAATTCAGGGCAGGGGATGTTGTGTTGGGGGCTTTGGTAACTTTTGTAACTTCTGTGGATGAACTGGGATAGATGGCAGATTTCATGACTTCATGATGAAAAGGTACCATCAGCGTACCTTTGTTTCTTGCAGGATTTAGGTTTTCATATGTACTTTCATCCTTGTCCTGAACCTCCCAGGGACAAACATTTGCATATTCGCTGTCTTGTCTTATTGAAATTTGGGGAGTTTCTACATTCTCCCAGGGACAAACGTCTACTTTAAAAGACTGAGTCTGCGGATCTTTGGATGTCATAGAGTGCGGAGTGACTGGAATATCGTGTGATTCCCAAGGACATGCTTCGACCCGAGTCTTCTGTTGTCCTCTCAAAGTCCCTTGGTCTTGTGATTCCCATGGACAAACATTTGAGCGCTCCATCACCTGGGATTCCTGCGAACAGATGTTTGCTTTGATGCTCTGCTGCTTCTTTGGTCCTTCTCCTGGTTGTGCAGAACTTGCTCCATCCCCAGGACAAACATCTGTGTAAGATGCATTGACAGTTGGTCTGATTCGATTGCTGCCTCTTCGATGAGTTGAAGGGGTTCTTGAGCTGCTTATGGTCTCCCAGGAACTTATGCTGCTACGTTTGCTGCTCTGCCTTGATAGAAACACATGTTCGTGGCTGCCCTCTTTTTGAGGATCATCAGCATCAGCAGGGGAGATGGTTGATCTTACAATCACAATCCTTCGTGGGCTTCTATCAGAGGAATCCGTAGAAGACAACCTGACAGCATTCTGCTTCACAAGGCTGGGCTTTCCATCTGTTGTTGACATACTAAATTTCTGCAGTGACTTCTTGTCCATACTTGGACGCCTACTGGATGATCCAGACACTGGTGTTGTGGAGGCACTCTCCTGGCTTTTTTGGGAATCCTCCCTGTTTAAATGTATCTCCTTACTGAACTTGCTACTGTCAACAGATGACATAAAAGATTTCACAGAGAGCCACTTATTAGTGGGGGTGCGGAAGGATAAGACTCGTTGATTCTTCGTCACCTTGGGTCTTGGTGTACCTGGTGCACTTGCAGACACAGTTACTGGGGTTTTAGGTGATACGCTGTCAGCTTGGGAGTTTTTGTCCACGGAAGGAGTCTTCTCAACAGGCGGCAGATGGTCCCAGGGGCAAACAAGTGCTTGTGGGGAGGGTAACTCCTTTTCCTCACTGTCCTTTGAGCTTGCGTATGTAACATGCTTTGTGTTCTTGTCCCCTGATTGTTCTGGTTCCACCTCCCAGGGACAGACCTCAGCCTTGTCAAATGATTCAGACTGGAGGGCACTCCGCGTCTGATCGCTAATGGAAATGCTCTGCTTTGACTGCATTGCACTTCCACCAGATATCTTTGGGATGTTCTCTATGGAATGGGTGGTAGAGGAGCTTAGGCTCCAGGATTTATGAAGCCTTGTGTGATCAGGATGCAGCAGATTGGTATCAATTGTCAAGTTCAGAGCACTGGCGGACTTGCACACCCCAGGTGGAATATCCAGGGAGTCTGTCTCAGATCGCTGGGAGGATCTCTTCACAGAATTGGCCCTTAACGTAGAGTCACGGAATGAGGAGCCTCTCTCTCTCACATAATGATGATCATTTTGGGACTTGCATATAAACGATGAATGGGATTTTATTGAACTTCTGTAACTGATACTTACAGAATCTGGTGCCATCCTAAACGAATCAGAGTGACTCCCACGTCTAATGCGGAAGGATCCATCCCTCTCTTCACGGCTGCACTGCCGACTTACGGTTTCTGGGAACTCAGCTATTTTTTTGATAAGCGATCTTCCCAGTGCACATCGAGAACTGCGCTTCTTTGAGAGATGAGGGTTGTTTGCTGTCATCTTCTTCACCTTGTGGACCTCTAACTGGGCATACAACTTCTTAAGCTCATCCTGATTCATGTGAAGAAAGCAGGAAATTGGTGTTGGGATTGAGCAGAAAGTTGAAACGACAGAGAGGAAAAGACAATGAAAGAAACAAGTCAGAGGAAAGTCTAAATGTTATTTTTATGTCAGGAGAAAACATTGGGGGTGTAATGAAGGAAAGGTGAATCCTTCATTACACCCATTACACTTGATATTTCCTCTACATTTGGTAAATTACAGTTGAAACCAAATATTTTCATGCACGGTATAAAAACACAAACATATGTTGTCCTTTTAAACTGTATGACTAACCTCTAACTAATGTTGCTGTTTCAGATTTTGATTTCCATCTTGCAAATTTCCCCCTATTTCATATTACCTAACCCCCTTCAGTCTGAAATTACGTTCGCACAGCAGGGAAATTTGACCCAAATCCAATTTTGTTTGCCCATATGCAACTTTTTCCCCAAAAAGATTTGGTTTGTGCCACTTCATAAGTTGTACTCAATCAGATCTGATAGATTTCGCAACGTCTGCAGTCAGAATGGTCATGATGCATTTTTCCAGCTTTTATGTCAATGATGTGAGACATGCGTCAAAATTCTGCACCAGAAGAAGTGAGACACTGTAAATCTGGGCGTAAACAACGGCTGGAGCCTGCAGTTCTTTCTTTTTTTCTTAGCTTCCTCAGTCTTGTTATGATCTTCTGACAACACTGTTGGATCGCACTGCTCAACAACTTCTATGTTCTTCTTTTGAGCATCCGGGTTTTGAACCGTTCACACAAAAGTCTGAATGTGGTAACATTTAATTAGTAGCATGAAAAACGATGTAAAAAAAAAAATCTGATTTTAGGAGAATCAAATTTGAGTCTCAAGACTTGCTGTGTGAACGTTTAGTCTCAATGAGACTATAGGAAGTGTCTCCAAAAACAATTAATTAATTAATTTGCAAACTGTTTTCTGGCTTCTTCCTGTCTGAGCAGCCTTTCATTTGATATGGC